AATATACAAGTTTCACTTTTTAAATGGAATTACTGAAATAAATCTACTTTTTCATGATATTCTAATTTTATGACCAGCACCTGTATTGTGGTCCATTGAAATGGTTTATATGCAATGGAACATGATGCATGTACATAAAGAATATGAAATCACTCACCTTTCCCCATATGTGTATTGATGCTCATGTATCTGGCAGTTCCAGTCAGACTCTTGTGTTCCCGATATGGAATGTGTTTCTTTGTCTCTGGGTCTATATATTCTTTTGCCAGACCAAAGTCTATAATGTGAATGTTGTGCTGCCGTTTAAAGCCTGGTCGGCCAACCAGGAAGTTCTCTGGCTTCACATCGCGATAGATGAGGTTCCTGGTGTGAACAAACTCCATACGAGTTACCTAAGGAAGACAAAGGTTTTTTTATTTTCTTTGACAGAATTTAGAATATTTAAGATATGATCATTCTCAAGAAGAAAAAATATGCTTCTTACCAGCTGTATAGCTATCATAAGAACAGTTTTTAGAGAAAATGTCCTGTCACAGAGGTCAAACAGATCTTCTAGGCTTGGTCCCAGCAGCTCCAGAACCATAGCATTGTATTTGCCACATGGTCCAAAGTAAAACACCTGAGGCACATGTTCTGTATCTGTAACAGATAAAGAGAAAACAATAAGCTGACAGCCAACAGTTTCAAAATCACTTAGTCAGAGGTCATTTCATGCTCTTGCACAAAATTAAAACTATTGTTAACCAAAAATATTTATAAACTTGGTCAAATTATATCATAACGGTAGCATGGTGAGGAAAATGTTTTTAAATACTTACTAGCACAAATGGATGAAAGAATAATTTTTGAAAAATTTTAATTGGTTCCCCCAACATTTTCTTTTTACCTAGAAGATCTAGGCCAGAGACAAGCCTTGTCCACAAAGGAACAAAGGAATCTTTTTATTTGTTGTTTCTGAAAATGCCCATAAAAACATGGCACAATATCTATAAATGCTTTCATTTCAAGTGTAAGAATAAAAAAACAACCAAAATGTTCTATGATCTAAGAACCACAGGTCTATAAAGTGCTAAGTAAAAATCATAAATCTGTTCACAATCATTAAAAAAGTACAAAAAGTACTTTTATCTGCACTCTATGAAATAAAGTGTTGAATACCAACCAAACTGGTTTCACTAAACAGCGATGAGTAAATTTACATTTACTCAACTCCGTTTAGTGGAACTAGTTGAATCACCAAAACACATTACCTATAAAGATCCAGAAAAACTTTGTAAAAAGAGAGAGCTGTTATAATCTTAAGGGAACAGAGATGTTCATGAAACCTAAATTTAGAACCTGTTTGAGAGAACGGTGGACCTCGATCGAAAGAGTGAGATTGTGGAATAATCTGGAAAATGATGTGAAAAGTGCCAAAATCACTGTACATGTTTCAAAGAATGATTAAGGCTAGACTGTTAAAATAAATATGAAACAACATAATCTGTATCCATATAATTTGTTGTTCTAGAAAGATTTGATGTTTTTGTTTGGTTTTGTTAACTGAAGATCTTTGTTTGAATTTATACTTGAGGAAAAAGGGGCAGATGTAATAAGATTTTTTTCTTCTCTCTGCTTCCTTTCATTTCATTTTATTTGTATTTTATTTTTATTGTACAAGAAATGAATAAAGTTTGAGAAAAAAATTAA